TTGTCTGAAGTGTAATGGTAGTGGACAGTCAGAAATTGTGTCATTTCAGACTGATTTTTATTTAAACCAAAAAACAAATACTGGGTGTGGGTTGCTATGTTTTCTTGTCTTTGACTTCTTGCTTTATTATAACCAGCTTTTCGTTTTTGCATTCACTGGCGTGGCACACATGGACCAGCTAAAAGAGCACAGTTGCCAACAAGGCCAGTTGTGTAATCCAGATCTGTGTTGAAATATCTGGGTTCTTCCTTTGCACTAGCTCTTATACGGCTGAGCGATTCATGGAATTTTCACTTAATTTACGATTATTGTAATAACAAGATAATTTCTTGTGTTGGAAAGCAAGTGCTTTTCTTTACAGTGGTGCACTTCTGCCGCTCCCTGAAAGCCCAACCTGTTTTGTTCAGCTCCAGCCAAGTTGACTTTTTGGGGGGAGAGTCACTTGGTCAACAAGATCCATACAGAAGAATTAAAAGTCATAGGATTTCTGCAGTTCAACCTGTGAAAGGATTATTAATGATAACCTCCAGCCGCCCTTGTCTCCAAATCGGTCAGGGTCTCTCAACCAGCCGCTTTCAACGGCACGTGACATTTGGCTGTCGGCTTTTGCTCTTCATCTCCCTTCCTGTTGCTGCTCTACAGGCCCCCTGAGGCAAGTGAGTCTGTTGCCTCTGGGCTTCTCTTCACTCCTGCATGCAGCCGCAGAGATCCTGTGGTGTAGGCATGCCGGTGGGGACCGGGAGTCGCTCTTGGGAGATGGACTTTATGGTCAAAAAACACCCTTTAGGCAGGGTTCAGGGGTGGGGCTAGAGTGGCACTGTCCCCAGCCTCCCCCACCACCAGGTTTTTCATGAGAGAGAGACCTTAGAGAGGCTGAAACTAAAATTGTTGAAGAGGTGCTTCAACAAAGCACTGTTTGAGGGGAAAAGTGTCTGCTTAAAAACCAAGACAAAACAAAAAACCTTTCACAAATGCTGTCTGATGGTCTATTATAGTATCTGTGAACACAGTCAGACCTTGCGCTCAGGTACAGCTTAGGCCCCTGAAGGTTCCTGTCCCTATTATGTTATGATGTCATCATGTTACCTAGCAGCAGCCTATGAATAGGCTAAAATTACTCATTTGTAGCATTTATGATTTCATCCAAAAGAAAAAGCTTTATCCAAACATTGTCATTTTATCACTGCCTAACAATCAAATAAAATCCCAGACCAAACGAGACTAGGGATGTACAAGTGAGCAAATGATGCCCACTTTAAGTTGTGATCTAAGTGCTAAATGTTTTTTGTTTTGTTTTTTTACTCTTTAGTAAGTGTTGTGCGAGAATGAAGTGATGATTGAACCCACATGAATAGATTTTTTTTTTTTTTTTTGCATTTGAAAAGTGATATTAACGGCTGTTGTGTCCAATTGAATGTAAAGTGGTGAGAACACAATACTCAACATACCAACCAGTTGTACAAAAACTAATACAACATGGATAATCTCAGTGGATTCAGAAAGTATGTTGAAAGAAGTAACAGTGGCTTCTTCCATTTTCAGTCGAGCAGATTGTCGTCTCTGGTTTTGTTTTTAGTTCGCCCTGCTGTTCCTACACAGAAACGATCTGCTCACCCACTTTCTTGCATCTTTGAAGCAACAGCGAACCAGAATTACCACGACTCCACCTTTTGAAACCTACAGCGGGTTTTGAATCCTTAAAGCAACACAAAACATTCTTATTTTTAGGTGTGCTCATCCCACAATAACTTCAACTAGACAATCTTTTTCCCTCCATCCTAGCCCTCCGGCTGCATCTGTTTTGGAGCATTTCTTTTCCCCAATGAGTTTGGTTGTTGTAGTTTGGGGTTTCATGCTTTAGGGAGCAGATATGCTTAAGAACAATCTGTCCCCCTAATGTTGTTGTACCATTGTGTTGAGTGTTTTTGATTTCTTGCTGGTAATTTTCCACAAGTGAAAGACAGTTGTGGCCTGAAAGACATGGGACCAATTGCCTGCACTCCTAGCAATGTGGCAGTCTGAACATTACTGGAGCTTAGCTCAAAAGCTGCTGTGATACTGTTAGATCCATGCATATGTTGTTAGCATAATGACAGTCCAGCCTAATTAGACTGTTTCTTTTCTAGACCAACTGCTACTGTAAAGGGTGTGATTAATGATAACTGCAAGAGTGTAGGAGGCACCAGAGTGGGTTGTAGGATAAACTTGGTGATGGTGATCATTACCAAACTCAAACGATTAGAGTAGCTGCACTCTGAAACACACATTCAAGGCAGTCTGACCTGATGTGTGTATCAACAGTGATCGAAAAAGGTTTTTAGATATCTCAGGCAAAAACACAAAGTAAAACAGTATTTTCAGTGTGTGTGTGTGTGTGTGCCAGTGTGTGTGTGTCTGCCTCTTCAGCGAGGTTCTTATCGCATGTACAGAGTCCCCACTGCATTACTATGTACTTCATCTAACCATGGTAGTCCTTGTTCTGCTCTGGAGCCTTTGTGAGCTTGGATTAATCCAGTTCTGGTTAGTGACCCTCCAGCACACAGCAGAGGAGAAACAGGACTACCTTCTCCGGCTGTGGTCTAAAACAGTGGAGCTGGAGTCCGTCTGCATGCAACACTTCTTTGGCGAGGTAGCTGAGTTATGTCAAGGACTGCCACGGCGATGATTGGTCAGCCTGCTGACAGGGGACCACAAGACTAGAAAAGCCAGGGATGGACAGTGTGAAAATTTAGTGCACAAATAAGAGCACATTATTCCAGTTCTGTCAAAGAAAAAAATGGAGAAATGCTAAAATGACAGGCCACTTTTATTTTGGTGGCATGTAATATTCTTTGGTGGCCAAGTAAATCTCATGCATGGGGGAATACTGGCTTTGCTCTGCCGGTTTATTAATTGTGTTCTTTGTGCTCTATGTGTCCCTCCAACAATTTATGTGAGGAAAAAGAAAACGATGTGGTTTTTATCATTTTAGTAATATTGCTGCACACACACAAAAATGCAAGATACGCAGATATGAATACATCTTTGATTGGCTAACATCGACTGACAAGCCTTCTGATTAATATCCATCAAATCGTATTCAAATAGAAAACCAGGAGATTTTATTGCAATTATCTGTGTTCGGCTGATTATGCGTGAAATCCTTTCAGTAGTTTGTGAACTAGTAAAAATCCAGACTGAATTGCTGCAGGGACAGGAGCTTTGTCATAGTATGTGTTTGCATTGCAAAGGAAATGTTTCTTTTCCCTGTTGAGTTTTCTGACCTGTATCTCTCCCTCCCACAGTCGCGTTGGGTCACCACACTGGAGGCAACCATTATGGAGGCACAGGCGTAATGAGGGAGAGGAGGACAGTTGATGACCCCTACTGGTCCTATTCAGGTGAACTCTCATTTATGCTCTGGCTGGAGCCTAAGTAGGAGGGGAAATTGCTTACCTTTTCTACCTTACCCACCATTTTCCATTTTATTTCCTGCTGTTTCGCCATCAAACTCCCACCCCCCACCCCCTCCTCGCTTTAGCAAAATGGGTTTAATAAAGCATTTATGATTCATATAATGGCATACCTGTGATGTATGCTTTTAATAAGAGCAATTAAACAAATGCACTCTGGAGTGAACAGCAGTGACATATTGTGGAGCGAGTCTATGTTCAGATTCATAACGGGAAATAATGAGTTAACTATCTCATTTGTAAAAGTATAGATTAGGACTGATGGATGCTGTCAGCAGTACTATGAAAATGTAATTGTTTAATTCCTAACCGCGTTATTGGTGCTTTGCTTTTAATCTAAATAAATGTTTTTGAGAAGACTTGCTTACTCTGTATTGCAATCTCTTAGCTGTTTACCTTAACACATTTGGAAGATGGATGAATATAGCAGCCCTCAGTGAACTGTCTGATGTATACTTTAATGAATGATTCATTCTGCGCACTCTTATGCTTGTAAATAATCTCACAGTTGGGTATAAATTTGCATATCACATCTTTTTGGGTGGTAGTCTTGGAGGAAAGTTTTTAGAGTTATAAACCTGTAAATAAGGAAAGAAGCTGAGCTCAAATAATGTATCAAAATATTTAAAACGGTATGTCACGGTATAATATTTTAAACTATCAGAAGCATATTTTATCAACTTCTAAGCTAAAGCTGTATTTAAATGCTTTAAGAGTTTAATTTTTCCCATTTTCTGGTATCTAAATTTGCTGTAAGGGGAGAAAAAAGTATAAAAGCACTGGGCTCTATGCATTTATATATGGAACTCCAAAGTGTTCAAAATTAAATAAATAAATAGGTCAAGATGAAATAAATAACTATGTGAATAAATAAGACACAGATATGTAATGTGAGAATGATATTGTGAAATCATGGAACACATTTTGAAAACAATGCTCATTATTGTGAAATATATTACATTCTGCTATATAAATTTACTTATTATTGTGAAATATTATTTCATGGTCATTATTTTTCACAATAACAGAGATTATTCCTGAGGCATTTTATTTATTTCCAGCCGTTTTTATTCCAAAATGACCTTTTTTCAAAGTCAGTCTTTATTTCAAAATCCCGTTTTTCCCGATGGTCTATTTATTTCATAATGCGACTTTTCAGCAGAATGACTTTGTCTGTCAATCAAGAGAGACAGGGCGGAGCCAGTTGTGTGATTGGTTGCTCCTTTACTCAGACATAAGTAATAGCACATGAATTGTCGATTTAGGTTTAATGGTGCAATGCGTCTCCTATGCAGCTGGCAGCAGTATGCAGCTCAAAATAAACTTAAGGCACCGACAAATGCAAAACACTGGGCGCGAATAACGTTACAGGTGTATCAATTCTTGTGAAGGGCATGGCTGCAGGAAACAAGTCCGTTTCTGAGTTACTCAGAGAACTTGCTAACCGCTTAGACTGAACGTCTTCACCCCAGTCTGCGTATTGCAGCAGTGTACTGGAGATGAAGTGGTCCCTGGTCCAAGTTCTCATCACAACCGCACAGTGTTAATGTTAGCAAATGCTAACGCTATCACAGCTAGCTCCACTCCACGAAACGCTGTTCAGGGTAAGTAACGATATGTTATTATTGCTTGGTTAGTCTGTCTGTCTGGCAAAAATGAGCTTTTTAATCAGTTTAGTCACAGATTTTTTTTAATACTGTTTTTTATCATAGCAAAGAATTCTATAAATTAGGTAAGAGAAAATAATTGTCTTCTGGGTTAATGTCTGTATTACTATTTACATTGTTGTAGGTAATAGTTATTCATGACTGTTTTAAAGTGGCTTATCTTCTGTGCTAATATGGAAGACAAGTAATCTATGTGAAAGAAAAGAAAGCAATTTTAGTTCAACGTAGTGATTTTGTAAGTGGGTATAATTTGAAAATGCTTTTACTAGTACAGTGGATGTTCTTTAAATATTTAACATTTAAAGTGTGTGTCACTTTACAGACTCCAACTTCAGTTTTGGTTTGGTCTCACCGTTGTAGGTCATAACACAAACAAGTCGTCAAGTCAAGCAGCTGAGGAAAGGGCTTAAGGAAACCATGGTATGGCCGCTTCTGACAGAAAGATCAGACATCATTCCTCCTTTCTTACCAAGGGAATCAGAGACTGCTCCCTGTTGTGAGGTAAGGTCAGGTCACATCTTTTAACATCTGAATAGTAAAGCTATTTGGTTAATTTATGAAGGATGAACATTAATTGTTGACACAAAACACCAATATACTGTTTTGTATGCTTGGGTTAGTTGAACAGTTGGGTTACATTTAATAAAAATACACCTAATGTTGCTGATGCTCTTAAGACTACAAGATAAGTAAAGCTATAAAATGACTGTGGCCTGCCACAGAAGATGAAGATGAGGAAGAAGAGGAATGCTCTCGAGGATAAATGCAGAGTGGCAGGTTACCTTCGGTCCTTCATTGAAAATGGTAAGTCTGCTGCGATAGGTATTTTGCCATTGGTTTTCTCTGATTATACTTTGGTAAATTACATACAGTCCAGTGATCTTGGGTCATTAACAAAGTACACTATAGTAGAGCTGGGCGATATGAGATTTTTTCATATCACGATATTTATTTATTTATTTTTTTATAAAAAGGACAAGAGCGGTGAGGTCTATCGCAATAGTTTAATTTTTCTATTGAGAAAAAGTTATTTCGCAATACATATCGTTATCGTTCTATCGCCCAGTTCTACACTATAGTATAATTTTGTTTTGTTATTTGCTCCATGCAATCCATAAGAGTGGTGGCATTATCAGTTGCACTAGAATTGTATGTAGACTACTTTTAGCTTTGTTAACATAAAAATATCTATAAAAGCTACAACAGCAATTTGAGTGGGGCAAAAATGTCTGGTGCCCTGTATGTAAGTGGTCATCTTTTATGGTAAAAGATTCAAAATAATGAATATAGGATGTCATTATAGTTTAAAACAATCTTCTGTTGCAGCATCTTGTGCACAACAAAAAGCCCTCATCAAGTTTTGGACAGGATGGGAAGTCTTGCCGAGAAATGACTGTGGGAGTGGTCAACAGCAATCTTCCAAAGTCTTCCACCGGTTTTGAAGTACTACGTCTTCCTGCACACTACTGTACCTATGAGTCATTTCTAATGGACATTCAGGTGTGTCTCAACTCTACTGACTCAGGTTTTGGTCTGGTTTACGATTGATTCCATAACCACATGGTAAAATTAGACCATTTCTTATTTCTTGCATCACATTACTGTACTCAGTGTTCAAAGAAACGGACAATCTAGTGAGTTCTAGTTCTTTTTAATACACTTGACAGTGAAAAATACACACTACAGGTGTGCATTTATGGCTTTTTTAATATAAACTGATGAAGAGTTCAGATATCAAAATCAGTTGTTCACTGTACATTATAAATTACACAATATGTTTTGTTTATACTCGCTACTGATACAAAAAAAATTTCTAGAAAAAATTATTTGAATTAAGATGTTACACTACTGTACTGTGTTCATTGTATTAAATCTGCTCAGAGTTGACATGTACTGTATATCCAACCAAGAAATGAATATCATTAAAGTGACAGCTGTATAAAACAAATCCTGTTTTATAGCCACTCACTGTTTTGTTGAAAATGAAATTGGTTATGCTGTTTTGAGTCAGTATTAGCTACAAAGCTGTAAAAAAATAAAAAATAAAAAATAAAAAATCCTCCTGACATAGAAACTGATTAAATGTAATAATGTCTTTCTACAAGTGATTCTGAAGTATTGGTAGCACAGCAGGGTCTTGTTCATTCAGTGCATCTGGGAGCTGAATCTCAGGAATGGTGATCTCATTTGATGGGCGGCGATTATGTTGTCCTGTCCAGTCCACACCATAATCCTCATCAACCTGAAAGAGCATGCACATGTTTTAAATCTAAACTGAAGAGGTGTTTCCTGCAGCTGTTCCTAGATGGACTTATTGAGTCTGCCAGGGCCTATGTGAGTTGCTTAGGCATTGGCTACCAACTAATTATTCATTCACCCATTCTAGGTCAGGATTGGTTCTCTTCAGGTATAACAAATTTAACTTTGTTTAAAGTATTGCCATCTATACCTGACAGGTGGGATAAAAAAAAAGAATGGCTTGGGAGACACACAGCAAATCTCAAAGTTTTCCAATTAATGCTGAAAGAACCAAGGATGTAAATGTATTCTTGTTTTAGCTTTACCGAAGACACCAGAGAAAGTATATCTATAATGCTGCTGAAATAGACAAAACCATTTCAATAAACTCGCTATTTAACATCAACCTTGTTATGAGTTATCAGAGAACAATCAACTGCAAACAGCAATGAAACATTCAACTATGTACTATTTAAAGCACTAATGACCCTGTTGTCTAACAAGATGTGATAAGTAAGTAGACTGTGGAAAGCTGGTGGGTCTACTCTCTGTGTAAAAGGTTCCTACAGGCTCCACTGACCCCAGTCTCCGAGTTAACACACTAACAGCTAACACTGCTAAACGTGTCTCAACGCCGAGATGGCGCCGATAGCTTTAGCCGTAGCTGCCCCACTTTAGACAGTAACAAAAAAAGTAAGCGATAATAATTCATTGTCAAACGTCATAATTAAGGTCAACATCTAAACAATGCTGTGTACAGAATCACACAGGTGCTCAATTACAGCATAAACTTACCTTAGACCTTCCTCCGTCATTTCCCTCCTAATTGTGCTCGGAGACACAGAAAACGTATCGGCAATTACCCCGATGGTTATCCCGGACAGCACTAAAGTCCTGAGTGCTGCACCGGGATTTCTAGACGTGGACGGCCAACATTTGAAGACTGTTCTTCCTCGGCGTATTCCAAACGAACACGGTGCTGAATTGCTCTTAAACCTTCGACAATGCTGTCATCGATGCTAAGATTTTGAAGAGCAATTATCATCCAGACATTTCAGAAACATCATCTAAACGACTCAAAACAGTATCTACAGGTAAATGATCCCTCTCTGATTTGCTTAAATGAGCAGAACTGGCTGAAGTTCACACCAGTCCGCCATCCTCCGTGACTTTTGACCTAGGACGCTGTTGCTAGCTGTAGCAGCCGTCCGCGGAGCAGGTATCCAGGAAAACTAGTCGATGGTAAACGATAAGCCAGTAGGTGCAAAGGTCCAGCCCACTTACATTGATTGACAGACAAAGTCATTCTGCTGAAAAGTCGCATTATGAAATAAATAGACCATCGGGAAAAACGGGATTTTGAAATAAAGACTGACTTTGAAAAAAGGTCATTTTGGACTAAAAACGGCTGGAAATAAATAAAATGCCTCAGGAATAATCTCTGTTATTGTGAAAAATAATGACCATGAAATAATATTTCACAATAATAAGTAAATTTATATAGCAGAATGCAATATATTTCACAATAATGAGCATTGTTTTCAAAATGTGTTCCATGATTTCACAATATCATTCTCACATTACATATCTGTGTCTTATTTATTCACATAGTTATTTATTTCATCTTGACCTATTTATTTATTTAATTTTGAACACTTTGGAGTTCCATATTTATAATGGCATGGCTCATTATTTGACTCATCAGCAGCACTTTACAAGACCATGAGTTAATGTATCTGAGTACCTGCTGAGCACTTGGTATTTGTTTTCTTTTTATAGCACGCAACATTTGGCACTGCTTGTAATGGTAAAAGTCTTTAAATTTGCTGTTTATTGGGCTCGGATGCAAAATGTGTGCACAGTTGTATGCAGAGCAGAAGATGTTTTTGTGGTGGTGAATTGATAAGCATATCCAGTTTGTTCCTTCAAAGCATTCATTCTCATTCAGCTGTACACGTCCACACCCCGGCGCAAACATAGCCCTCTGTAGGCCATCAAGCAGCTCCGATGGGAAATAGGGGTTATGTGATTTGATGGAGGGCACTTTACTGGAAGAGCTCAGGAAGGGAGGAGCACTCGGTAAAATCGTATTTACAGGTTCCAAGTTCCAAAAACACCACCTTGCAAATAACTAACTCGGCCCCTCTGCCGGCGGAGTGCATCGTGGCTCTGAAAATGAATATACTGATGGAATATTTTGTCCTCGGCGCTCCAGTTGTGAACCTAGACTCTTGTGGTTTTAGGCAAGAAAATTGTGCAAATAAAAACACAAAAAACAAAAACAAACTGTGGCTACTTTGGAGTCAAGTTTGTTTGGTATTCATGTCACTCCTGATTGTGACCCTCGTCTCTCCCAGTTGTCGAGTAAAGGCAGTGAAAAGAATGCCTGCTTTGACTATCCAAGCGTGATTGCTCTTTCGCCACAAGGTGTGTGGTGCCTGTTTTAGGAGTTCTGGTCACTTCAGAGATGCCATTGTTTTCTGTGCAGCCTACAAAAACGGAAGCCCTGATCACATTTTAACTGTGATCATATAAACAACTTTGGTTCTTTAATTAGATAATGATGCAACATTATGCCATATACAGTGTTTTTGGCATTGGTCTGCTTTAGCGGTGGGCATTATAGCCTCAAAATTATATCGTGATACTTCTGATTAAGAAAGGAATAAAGAATTAGACTTATTGCTCGCAGCTTACATGCAGCAGCTTTTTTAAATGTAGGCAAATACAGGGCATTTTCCATCTTTTGACACACTTCCTAGTTTGAAGTGTGAATCTAGTGAAAAGAGGTTCCAGCAGCAGCATTAGTGTGGTGGCAGTGACACAGCATTATATCCAGTGACACAGCTCAAGTCACATGTAAGCACAAAAGTAGCCTAAATGATGCTTTCCATGGAAATCTTAAGTACAAATACAACATGACTACTTAACACTTGAGTTACTTTATTGTTAAACTAAACTCTTATATAGTATTGTCACATAATAAAACGGAGAAATATTTTCTACCTGTGATGTTTTGTCTTGGGCCGAGCTTCGCTGCTTAAAGCTTTGCTTTTCACATCAGTAATTTCCATCCACCGTTTGCTCTTCCTGTCATATGGAATGCAACTAGCGAGTGCAGCAAGTGTTGCTTGGTTGACTCATTTGTTTACTTTTGGGTCACACATCACCAGCTGCTAGTGTCTTCTCCTTCATAGCCTGGTCGTGCTTGACGGTGTGCTGCCTTTTTTTTTTTTTTTTTTTTTTTTTTCCCCGCTTCAAGCGCTGAAACGACTTTGTTCCCACTAATGCTGGAAACAATTTTCGTGCATAATTTAAAAACGACTGCGTTTCTGTGCGAGGTTGTTGAAGTGGCTTCCTTTATAGGTGCGAAATTGTCATCAGAAGGTCTTGCTGTCAGACTTGCCTGGGCTTGTCTCATTGTTGCGTGCAAGGCGGCATGAATGCATGGCATCGCCATAGCAACAATACATTTATATCAGGATTATCATAGACGAGATGATGTGGCACAGCCCTAGCCCACTTAGTATTTTGTGTTTGTGCCAATGTGTAATGGCAGTAGGCTCAGTAAGCCTGGTGGAAACATCACCTGTAGCAAGGATTAAGTGAGGCGGTACATCACAAATACCTGACATGACTTTAATTTGTACCTTCAGTAATGGCCACACTCCAAATATATGGCATTTGCTGCATGAAGTGGTGCTTCTGCTCTTTTCCCCTAAAGGTCAGAGTGTGTGTTTCTTTTTTTCCAATGATGTTAGTGGTTGTAATAATTGATTTAGTTTAGATGGTCCACCACTCTTGTAAAACACTGTAACTGTGTCTTGCGCTTCATTGGTATTTCTGTCCTGTCATGCATTCATCGACCAGAATTTGAAATTTGCCTTTTAGCAAATGAAGTGACAAAATACTGATGAGAGCAACCGTTTTTTGCTTCTTTTTGTTTTGGGTCACACATCAATTTTACACTGGTTAAATGTTCAGCGATAGACATGAATAAAAAGCTGAAAAGCCTTAGAACATTTAAGCTGTTTCCAATAATGATATTGTTTGTTTGTTTTCTTCAGGACCAAATGTAAACATGTGTTAGTCATGCTAAGCAACACATGTCTGCAGTACTTGGATGTAGAAAATGAAAAGTGTCTGCTGCGTGGATTTAAA